AATAAAAGATGAGGGAGGGGAATAAGATGAGGGAGGGGAATAGGAGGGAGGGGAATAAGAAGAGGGGAGGGAATAAGAAGAGGGGAGGGAATAAGAAGAGGGGAGGGAATAAGAAGAGGGGAGGGAGGGGAATAAGAAGGGGCAGCTCTATAGGACAGGGGCCAAGACAGGGAGCTCTTTCACACTACGCGCACGCACACACACACAATGCATCCCTATACATACACAGAAACACAACATGCTTCACTTACACACAGAGAAACACACAATGCATCCATTACACACACACACACAATGCAACCCTTACACACAAAGACAATGCATCCTTTGCACACATACACAGAAACAGACAATGCAAACCCGTACACACGCATGCAAACACACACACTTATTTTCTTACATACACACAGAAACACAATTCATCTCATGCACACACATACAGACACACACCTTGCATCCCTTATGCATACAAACACAGATTCACACAATGCATCCCTTACACACAACCAGAAACACATAATACATCCCATATACACAAATACACACTGCTTCCACTACACACAAACACACTGCATCACCTGCACAAACTGGTAACCCTAAACACTACATACCATAAGCACACATATTAGATCCTCTACAATAACACATAACACATCCCTTACACACTCCACTCCCTGTGAGCGAACTCATGGGTGGGTGGAACTTATGAGTGGGCCTTATGGGCATACTCACCGTCAGGCCCTGGGGCCCAGACCTTGAGCTGTGTAAGGGGCCCCCCAAAAATTGAGCTGCTTCCAATTCTCCCAGAACATTGAATTTTGTGACCACAGTTGCAAACAGCCTCCAGAGATCCTGATCTACACCAGACCAGTGGAGCCAAACTGCAGCCCATCATCATCCTCATCTGCTTGTAAGTAGGCAATCTAGTATATTATTAGTGACACTAATCTATAATGTACCTCACATTAAAGGGACACTATAGCTTAATGAAGTGGTTCTGGTGTCTATAGCTAGTCCCTGCAGGCTTTTTAATGTAAACACACACTGTGTGCAGCACTGGCGTTAGTTCATATGGCAGGTCATATGGGTGGGGCATTGTGATGTGACATGTGGGGGCAGCAAATTTTTATTTTGTCTAGGGCGGCAAAAATCCTTGCACCGGCTCTGATCCTGGGCAGGTGCACCAGTCTACCTGACTGGTTTTGCCCCCCAGGCCTAAGGCTGCCAGCCCTCCCCTGGCCGCTGGGGAGGTCTTTTGGCGGCCGCTGGCGGACTTGTCCTGGCTGCCGCTGAGGGAGGTGCGCGAGCTGCGCTGGCTCTGCTCCCCAGCACGCAGCTGAATGGGACCGGCACCGGAATATGACGTAATATTCCGGCGCCAGTCTCATTCAGCAGCGCGCGAGGGCGGGAGGGCACTAACACAGGAAGCACCTCTAGTGACCGTCTGAGTGACTGTCACTAGCAGTGTCACTTTGAAGCAATGTAAGCCTTTTGTCTGAAAAGTCAGTGTTTACGTTGAAAAGCCTGTAGGGACATGCTATAGACACCAGTACCACCACATTAAGCTGTGTGTGTGCGTCTGCTAGTGAGTGAGCTTGCTTGCATGCGTGTGCCTGCTAGTGAGTGAGCTTTGTTTTTATGTCAATGAGCTGATGTATATCAGTAAGATTGTTTGTCTATGAGGCTGTGTATCAATGAGCTTGTGTGTGTCACTGAAATGTCAGTGAAATTGCCTGTGTCTGCATGTGCGTATGCTTACTGTATAATTAAGCGTTTTACCCTGAAAGGACCAATATTTTATATTAGAAAAAGCAATATATATATATATATATATATATATATATGTATATATATATATATTATAATCATCTATACTGTAAGCCTTACATATTACCACTTGCTTGACAATATATGAAACAGTGACTTATAAGGCTGAAACACAGGCATTTTCAAGGGCTTGGCTGCATCCCCAGTCGTACTGCCTCTATACCTTCAGCTAACAATGGTTACACTTACAGGGATAGTAATACCAGTACCTATACCTTTAAGGGACATATACCTTCAGCTAACAATGGTCTCTTACAGGGATAGTATTACCCAGTACCTATACTGCTAAGGGACCGCTATACCTTCAGCTAACAATGGTCCCTTACAGGGATAGTAATACCCAGTACCTATACTGCTAAGGGACCTCTATACCTTCAGCTAACAATGGTCTCTTACAGGGATAGTAATACCCAGTCCCTATACTGCTAAGGGACCTCTATACCTTCAGCTAACAATGGTCCCTTACAGGGATAGTAATACCCAGTACCTATACTGCTAAGGGACCGCTATACCTTCAGCTAACAATGGTCCCTTACAGGGATAGTAATACCCAGTACCTATACTGCTAAGGGACCTCTATACCTTCAGCTAACAATGGTCCCTTACAGGGATAGTAATACCCAGTACCTATACTGCTAAGGGACCTCTATACCTTCAGCTAACAATGGTCCCTTACAGGGATAGTAATACCCAGTCCCTATACTGCTAAGGGACCGCTATACCTTCAGCTAACAATGGTCCCTTACAGGGATAGTAATACCCAGTCCCTATACTGCTAAGGGACCGCTATACCATCAGCTAACAATGGTCTCTTACAGGGATAGTAATACCCAGTACCTATACTGCTAAGGGACCGCTATACCTTCAGCTAACAATGGTCTCTTACAGGGATAGTAATACCCAGTACCTATACTGCTAAGGGACCGCTATACCTTCAGCTAACAATGGTCTCTTACAGGGATAGTAATACCCAGTACCTATACTGCTAAGGGACCCCTATACCTTCAGCTAACAATGGTCCCTTACAGGGATAGTAATACCCAGTACCTATACTGCTAAGGGACTGCTATACCTTCAGCTAACAATGGTCTCTTACAGGGATAGTAATACCCAGTACCTATACTGCTAAGGGACCTCTATACCTTCAGCTAACAATGGTCTCTTACAGGGATAGTAATACCC